GTGTTCTATTGAGTTGCGATTTCAACTATTTTAGGGCGAAATTATCTCAAAAGTATGCTAAAATGAGTTATTTGTCATGCGAACGCTCAAACGACTACTGTTAATGTACGCACTGATTCAGTATACATGCAATGGTTACTAGATGACAAATTTACAATACACTCGATTGCATGTATTTGCGCGTACATTTCCGGTAGCCGTTTGAGCGTTCGCATAACAAATAACTCATTTTTGTATATTTTTGAGATAATTTCGCCCAAAAATAGTTGAAATCGTTATATATCTACTCGATTCACAACTACTGGAAAAATCCGTAGATGGAGTTAGACGCCCGTACCAAATGTAATGTATTGAAACTCCATATACATGCTCGGAGTATGGTTTCATTATGTACGTTTGGTATCATTTATTGCACTTTATTCAATTCCATATTGCGAAGACTGTCCGGTTTGAGGTCATTGAATTTGAGAGAATCTTTAAATCGGTAGCCAGTGAAATTGCGCTCCAATATCAGTGCACGCTTAGCTCTGAACACTTTCTCATTCGGATCGTCGAATCTTCTTATTTTTGGCCGGGAATTTTCTGATCCATTTACGTAGACACAAATGAACCATCACATTTAAACCCTTTTCCAAGGACGATTTTATGACGTTTGCCGTCTGAGATAATTTTTTCATTACCATCACCGACGGCTTTTTCATGTAATTGTGCGAATTCGTCATCTTCTTCATGCAATGGTGCGAAATTGTCAACTCCTTCGCTTTCAGGCGCTTCCTCTTCTTCGGCTGGTGGGTCATAATGTGGTGATTCGAATGATTCTTCGTCGGTAAGTTCCCCAAGATTATGCGAAACCAGGGCATTGGCAGCAACGGCCTCTAAAACAACAGCGCGTTCATATCAGATTATGTTTTCAAGTCTAACAATTTCATTGGCTTGGTGTTGCTTAAATTCAATTTCTTTTCGCGTAAACCTTGAAAAATAAAAATATATTTGAAAAAAAAATAGGCATCATATACAAAATTCACTTACTCGGCTAGTTTTTCATTGCGTTGACTGAGATTCCCATGTGGTTCCCATGTCTTCTCATCGTGCCCTTCCCATTCGATGTTGTATTGAACCCCTTTTTCTTCGTGGACTCGTATACCTAATATTCGATCTATGTTCCAGTATCTTTGCACTTGATTTTTTGTCTTCTTTTTTTCTGTTCATTTCTGGAGTCTTTGGTGTTCGAGAACGAAGAATGGGCGCATCACCTCTAAGGCCTGGCTTCTGATAAGTATAGCCCAAAGGTGGCGGCACAAAGGTTCGTTTTGCGATTGCGGGTTTTTGACTTTCGCCCGATTCTAGTTTCGCCAATGCTTCGCTGAGTTGAACCATACTCTCCAATTGACGTAATTCAATCAATTCAATGTTGCATGCGAAAATTTGCTCCCCAAACAATATCATTTCGAATCCCGTGCTGGCCGCGCACACTTCAAAACTATTTCACAACTACAGCTCCAAACATAATAACTCAAGACCAAATTGTAATAATAACAATAGCCGAAATTCGCGATCGCGTCATCGTCATCATAATGAATTTCCGATTTCGGCATCGCCTCAAGTGCAAGGGTACACAAAACTCATGTCAACGCAAAACAGTAAACTGAACACTACCCTACTGAATCAGTTAAATCCGCAGCTGACACAAAAACAAAGATTAAGGCGTACCATAAGCCATGTTGAGAAGTGGTTGGCGGAAGATCAAACCGCTGCGGTCAACATTTTGACGGCAAACAATATGCTTGACATCTCGAAAAATATCAATTGCAAAGGGAACAATTTGTACAAAAATGCCGCATCGAACAATGTGAATGCCGTTGGCGTGGCGGATAAGTTAAAAAAAAATGAAAAATTGGCGAAAAAACTCAACGATGTGGGTTCACCGTCAAAGAAGACATTCAAAAAACACCAAAATCATCATTGTCATCACGAGTGTCTGGCGATTCGATCCAATGGGTACCTGTTGATGGTTTCTGGTTGTTCGTGCTGTTGTTATTCGGTGTGTGTTCGTTCCACGACATATAATCGGACTTACTCAGGGAATAGTTAATTCGGTGTTTCCTTAGTCGGCGTTTTTTTATTTAACTTTTATCTACACGCGCATCGCACGTCTATTCTCCTTGACGTCCAGAATGAGAGAGCCTAAAACAAAACCTCTCTGTCAATCGGTGTGTCAAACTATTCAGCGCCATTCTTATGTTAAAATAACAGTGAATCAAGTCCAAAATGGTGAACCAAGATTTGAAAATGTGAATCAAAAAATTCCAAACGGTGAATTAAGAATTCACCAATAAAATATGAATTTAACTCGATTTAACGTCTATTTTTAAAAAAATTCGCGGTAAGCGCGACGTTCAAACGGTGAATTTATTTGATGTGATGAATATTGCGGGGTAGATGTCTCTGTTCCGCGGGCTTCCGCGTCCGTACGGATCTCGTACGGGTTCCGTGCGGAGACGGAGTTCCGCGGAACAAATTGAATTCCGTATCCGTACGGAACTTGACGGAACTTGCGGAACTTGACGGAAATTGACAGATCTTGACGGATATTGACGGAATTTGACGTAACCCAACGGAAGTTTACGTAATAACTCACTGTACAGAGAGTACGTTACAAATTTCTGTATCTATGAGTAATTATCCCTCAGTATGGATAGTGTGCGTACTAAAATAATCCGTGTCGGATAATCATCTGTGTCGGACCGATTTCAACTCTCAAAAAATCGAAAAATCCTCAAATATACACTTTTCATGGTTGGTAATCTTAGCGCAAAATTATTTTTTCGCCAAAATAAGGGGAGTCTTCTCAGTCAAAAACTTTGAAAAATGATTTTTTGAGGTACCTCCCGAACAAAAGTTACGTTTTGCATGGCAAATTATCATTTTTTGTTGGGGAGGTAGCTCAAAAAATCATTTTTTCAACTTTTTGACTGAGAAGACTCCCCTTATTTTGTAACACAGGTAGTTAAAAAAAACTAGTAAAACACGGTAGTTGTAAACTAACACAGGTAGTTAGAAGTGATACATGAACTTGATTGAATTTTTCAGGTTACTTACGGTTACTTAAATTCATCAACTAAAAAAAACAAATCCAATAATTACCCGCGTATATATTCAGATATGATAATTCCCAAAAACTATCAAATTTCTTTTCTTCAGCGATTACCAAAATGATACACACAACAAGAATCATTAGAAATAATTTCATCTTGAATAAACCCCTTTGCAATAAATCTACTGGACAAAAAACTGTAAAAGACCACACACTAGCAAGAATTCTCAGTGATTAAATAGAGAACAAAACCTAAAAGCTGTTGTTTGCGCGAGAAATAGAATCGAATTGAAATTTAATTTTTTCTTGATTCGTTTATTATTTCTTTTGTCAAATTTACAAAAAGAGGTTTCAATGACAAAAATAATCAAAGCAAAACTATTAGATTAAGAATCTTATTAAAAGCACGTATTGGTAAATTTATAGTTGATTTGGTTTATCAACATTTATTATTTTTATTGACAAAATGCAATGTTCTGCTTAGTTACTAAATAATACTTACTTGGCACAAAAAAAAACATGAAACAAAAAAAAAACAATAAATTGACAAGTATTTTGTGAAAACGTGAAAAAGTCACGGTCTGTGCGATGCTTTGCAATTTGCAAAACATGTTAAAGTTTCAAACTTCAAACACGACTCTTCCGTATATCATTCATGGGTGTTTTACCCAAGTTTTGTTGTTTCTAATCAACGATTCATCATGCAACGTTCAAATTGTAACGTATGCGTGTTTACATAGTTTAAACATTTATAAAACGATTTGATTTTTCTTCTGATAATTTCAATTTTTCTTCTGGTGTTTCGTTTGTAAATACTTGTTGAATGATGTTTCGGTTCACAGTGTTGTACAAAACTCATTTTACTACTATCTAGATTAAGATAAGATATGCATCTGTCAATAAAAAAATATCTTTTCATCTTAAGATAATTATCTTATCTTCAATGAAATAGATAAGATTATCTTTCTTATCTTTTTTAGATAAAACAAGATTAGTTTCTATCGTATATGATTCGCTTTCGATCATATCATATGGATTTGGATAGTTGAAAAAAGATCCACATCTGCTATTCCCTTACTCAACAATTGTTCACTGCCTGAACAATGCAACTTGTACTTTCAGAAACGTTCAATTGATATTATAATTTATAATTCAATAGTTTTAACAATTTGTTAATAATAAATTGCCCAAAATCAAATAAAAATTAAGAACGTGACTTTTTATTAACCAAATGAAATATGTTTATTTTGGATCAACTTTAGCTTATAAGCCAAATCACTTTCCACTCATTAATTTGTTGTTATGTTTTAAAAATATTGTTTGTTCAAAATGCTCCGCGGAGATACGATTTCTGCGAGGCGTAAAAATCATGAGGGACTGGCTGAACACGCGCTCTACCGCGGCTGACGACGATAATGTTGTGTTGTGTTTGAAGAAAATTGTACGTATGGCGGGGTAGCGGTTCAACATTTTGTAATCACTATCACCGTCCATCAAGTACGCGACCACCTCTGCTTCGATTTCATTCTCAATAGAATTGCTTCGATTAATCCGACGGGAATTGAATCTAAGAATAAAACCGTCGCTTTGTGTTACACTGTTTGATTCAGGCTCATTGTTGCGTTCAACCGTTTTATATTTTCGGCATTCAGCAATCAGCAACTGCTTGGCAAATATGAAATCATCATCATTTGCAATAAAGTCACCTCTGATATTTGGTATGGAAAGCGCAGCCAGTATTAGGTCTTTGTTATCCGAGTTGAATTTAAAACAGTTGTCAAACCTCTTCTTGATCACCTTTAAAGAATAATGAAATAAATTATTAATAATAATTCAATAAAATTAACAGTTAATAACTGTTAAATGCTATCACAATTGACATTAGCAAATACGCAGTTTGTAATTATTACTGATAGTAATAATCGACAAGTACCTCCAGCATTGTTTGCTTGAAATCGCCCAGAAGGTTGCAATCAACATCAAACGATGATATCTTGTGCTTCATGGAAAATATCACAGGCAAGATTAATCCTTGGCTGCAATTATATTCTCCTTGGAGCGTATCTAAAGCTGAAGCTATCGGTTGCATAACCTTTACATAATTCTCCATCACGGATATATCACTTTGTTCCAATATCAACAAATGATTCGCTGAACGTAATTCAGTTTTCAAACGTCTAATCAAAATGTTGATTTTATTCCTTTCATAGATCGTGTCGCTCTTGCAAATATCAACAATTTTATTAATCGCATCGAACTTTGAATTCCATCGTGTTTCGCAAGGAACTTTAAGTGAACACCCCAACTCATTTTGACAAATCGTCTTAGCATAGCAACTTCGGTTTGTGGTATTCCAAAGCGCATGTAATTTATTGTAAGTTTGTTTAAATGCTCTGTTGGCCATTGTTGGTAGCATATTTTCAAAATCCTGTGATGCGAGGTTGAGAAGATGTGAGAAACAACGTCGTTGAGGTGGCAGTTTAATTTGTGGCTGTTCATTTGAAAGGCGTCCTCCAAAATAATCGTCAGGTTCAACATTTTGTACGACATCAAACTGCAAAATTTCATTTTGGAATAATTCTCCCGTTTCTGTTTGCATGAATTCGTGCACCATATCTAACGATTCCTCCTCATTGTTCCCACTAGAACTAGTAGTTCTTGTCTCATGTTGCTCACTACTAGCAGTAGGGGCTGTATTCGTATCATCATCATACTCATCTTCAGGTGAATCTTGCATAATGACGTCAGTTGTGTTGCCGAATTCCTTGAACATCTTACAAAAGGCTGAACCACCATCGGTGACGATGTGAGTTATTTTTTCAATATCAATTTCGAAATCTTTGAAAATTTCGTCTAAAGTTTGCGCCAAATGTAAATAAGTTTGTCTGGCGTACATTCGTTTGAATGCCAGAAGAAATGACTCGCGTTTGTAATGCTGATTCAAAAAATGGATGGTTACTCCAAGGAAACTTTGTCCTTTGCTCGACCATGCATCACAAGTTACGCACAAAAATGATTGTTCTTTTAAGGTGTGCTTGAGCGTAGATTTCAATTCGTCACATTTTGACTGGAGTGAAGCCATAAATTTTCGGCGACTTGGCATAATCACCTTTCTTCCACTGGCAGATTCTAATAACGCTCGAAGCGATGGTAATTGTGATATGTGGAATGCAAGGTTTCCGTCGACAATGAAATCGACGAGTTTTGATGCAATCTGTTGAAGAATTAGAATTTCTAATTCAGTTTTATTCGTTATTGAATATTTTCAAACCACAAATTGTAGTCTGCAATAGATTTAATTTAGCAATGCTAAATTATTACCTTCTCGTCACTAACGGGTGCTAACATATCTGCTATTCGTGGCTGTTTGGATTTATTTCCATCAATATTATCATTGTCATTATTGTCTTCTTGCTTCAAATATTGTTCCAAGTGTAGTAATTTTTCTGGATGTTTTTTGTAATGGCTTTTAAAGTTTCCTGTGCTGGTAACATTTCCTTTACGAATTTCTTTACATTCATTGCATTTAGCAGAAATTTTTCCATCTGATCCAACGTCAGAATCTAATGTATAAAAAGTTCCGTCCAAAATTTTTGGTATTTTCCTTTTGGGTCTTTTCGCAACAGGAACGTTATCAGATGCATTTGATTGTTCGTTTTGTTCTAAACATATATAAATTATAATTTAAAAGTTTTAAATTATATAGCAAATTATTTACAATTTGTAAATAAAAACAGCTGTTTTTAATAACACTTGTGCATTGCACAGTGTTCACATTACCTTCTTCATTTCTCGTTCTTTTGCCTTGCATGAGGTACTCATAAATACGTTGACCAGACCTCGTTAATCTGGCTTCGGTCATTTTGTATTAAAATTAAATAGAACACACAAAACTATACTAACTTTTATAAACTTTTTGGCAAAATAATATTACACGCAGACAATATATTATTCAATACTCAATGCTCAATGTCATTCAATGTTATGAAGATAGTTCACAAATATTTTTTACTGGAAAATTGTGACAAATCAGTCACAAAAACCGGCATCACTGGAATCGTTCCAGCGCGAAAGTGTGCGAGTCAACTCATTTGACTTAGCTGTCATTACCTTAACCTAACAAAAACACATTTGATTGTTATTGCACGTATTCATAGTTTTTTTCAACATGCCACGAAAAGGATCTAAAAAACCAACTCAAAATAATAAAAGTAAGTTTATTAATACTCACTAGAATCTATTTTATGTATTTCATACAAGTAATATTATTTTTAGTTCATAAGTACATGACAAAAGAACTTCATTTGGCGAGTGTGAACACGAACCAATCACCACAAGTAGGAATGGCACAAGAAGATGAAAATCGTCTGAAACTCCAAACAATCTGCATAAAATTGCGAAATTTGTCAACGCATGATATTGAGGAAATAAACAAAAAGGTGATTTATATGATATAAATTATATCATAAAGTTAAATATGCTGAAATCCAATCATTGATAGATGATTTTTCATATCAGACAGACTGAATAGTATGTAGCGCATATCAACACTATTTTTTGATGCTCTAAAACAATATAATATTAATAATACTATATTTTGCAGTTGTCAAGTCATGGACTTAAATCAAATTCCAAACGAAAGCAAAAATCTGATCCAACAGATAACGAGCCTAAAAGAAGAAAACTGACAGAAAATAATACAGTAGTTCGTATCACACGCTCCAAATCTCGATCGCTTGGATTGTTGATAGACAAAGAAAAAACGAAAGTTGAACAACCGAAGACATGCGATAAGAGTATTCCAAAGCAAAATGTGCTGACCGACATCCATTCAGCTTTGACCGAGCAAACCGCATCTCAAACTCGAGCAAATGCTGCGTCTCAGGTAGTGTAATTAGTAATTTTTAACTATTATTATCAATAATAGTTAAACAATAGTTTTTCGAATAAAAATACAAATTGTATTTTTCAGGTTATGAAAAACAAAAAAAGTATTTCCAGCAGACCAAAGCCATACGATAAGAACAATTTGAAGCGAAATTGCACAGAGAAAATTCCATTCGAAACCCGTACAAGTCGTGTCACACGCTCCAAATCTCAATCGTTTGCTCTGTTGATTGACGAAGAAAAAGTAAAAGTTGATGAACCTAAGTCACACGATAAGAAAATCTCAAAGCAAATTCCGTCTGACAACCAATCGGTCCCGATTGGGCAAATTGTAACTCGAACTGTTGCGTCAACTCAGTCTCAGGTGAAGTGAAATAGATTCTCATCTGATATTAATAATATCAGCTGTTAAAGATCAATATTATTGAAGATACAAATTGTATTTTTTTTCAGGTCAGCGAATATCCGATTGTGCACAATGATTCAACTTCGATTGGGCGAACCCCCATAGAAAGTAGCGAAAATGCAATCGCACGCATCGACTTTTCAGTTGATGAGATAGTTTGGGCAAAAATCAAAGGTTTTCCACATTGGCCGGCGAGAGTCAAAGCATTTTGTGGAAAAATGGCAATTGTTGTTTGGTATAACGACTACCGTACTACAAAAGTTTATCGAACACAATTGCATAAGTTTCTCCCGAATTTTGACGAATTTTCGAAAAAATTCGACCAAACAATTGGACTGAAAGCAGCAGCACAAGAAGCGCTCATTACTTATGGCCATCGTTTTGGAAATTGTTTTTATTGATTTGAGTGATTCATAATAAAATTTCTAATAAATAAAAATAATCAATTTGAAGTAAAAATGTTTGAATAATTATGCTATTATTAATAGTGATATGCGCGATAAAATTATAATTTATAATTTTAAATTTCCAAAAGCCAATTTCGACATAGGTTATTATTAAAACCTTTTTTCCGTTAGGGATACTACGCTGCGTAGTCTATGCATACAATGATGGTAATATAACATAATGTCATGACATTTCGCCTTAAATGTTGTGTTGCGATGCACAAGGTTTGCTTGTTGACAGTGTTTGACAGTTCCTATGAACATATTCAATTTCTCATTCAATGTGTACTGAACGATTTAAATATTGAACGGAAAGAAAAATTCATTAGAATAACACGAATACTACAGTGTTCACTGCTCAGATATATTGAAAATGTCGTTAAATATAGCTGATTTAGCCGAAAATTTGGAAAATTCGGTTCATTCACAATTGACTGTGCGCCGAGCTGGTGAACTCAAGATTGAGGAATGGTCCACTTCTGAAGTGTGCTTTCAAAGTTACATTGAAACAATCATGGGAATCATTAGGAACGAGCGTTTCGGAGAAACGGTGAAAATTTCGGCGGCTATCGCAATGAAAAATCACGTTACAAAGAATTGGAAGGTAATTGTTCATTTATTATTAATAAATGAATTGGTTTAAAAAAATGCGAGAATAAATTATTCATTCCAGAATTACACACCTTCTTTGAAGTCAACGTGCAAAGAAACAGTTGTCCAGCTGTTATTGGCAGAAGAAACTGACAGAATCGTTTCAAATCAGTTACTGGAAATCGTGAGAGTAATTTCCAAGGATGACTTTCCTTACGATTGGCTTGACGAATTGAAAATTCGAATTGATGCAAACGAAGTCGGTGTACTCCAGATTTTCCATGCAATGTTCAAGAAATTTCGGTATGAATTGGCCACATATCGGCTATGGGAAGAAGTCGAAAGGAGCACAGTTATGGCGAATCTACTGACAGATTTACTCAAGCGATTCACGTTCACGTCAGATCGAGCCAATGGCAATTATTTTCAAAAGTTGCTCTTCACAGTAAACATAATCCATTCACTCTCATTCCACGATTTGCCAGAGGAACTTTACAAACAATTGCCATTGATTATGAACGTATTTTGCATAATTTTGTGCTTACCAGCTAGTGTAAGTAGTAACTTATTATTAATAAGTTTTATTGTGATTAGTAATAACAAATATTGCTTGAAATAAACAGGATAACAAGAAAATTGGTTTGATTGAAAAGCTCCAATCATCGGCATGTTTGGCATTCGCTCATTTTGCCGATCGCTATACGAAAGAGGTCGACCCATATGCAGTACGGTTCATGACTCGTCTCTTGATGTTGAAATCAAAAATAGAACAAAGTTCTTTGACAAAATACATTGTGGTATGTCTGTGAATTTTTTTTTTGTTTACAGATTTTATTCTATAAAATTGGAATTTCCCGTTTCAGTTAAAACACACTATTTGTCAGGTCGAAAGCGTCATTCAAAAACGCAAGTTGTGTGCAGCACAAACAGCACTGGACAGTATTCCCCAAATGAGCGCCATCACACTGGAGAAAGTCCCCAAACTAGAGCAATTGGCAATGAATTTGCCTGAAGACAGAAAGTGTTTGACAAAGAAAGTATTTTCAAACTTTAGTTTGGAATCAAACTTGGTGAAATCTTTAAATGAAATGGGGCTCGATAGAGTGACAAAATCACAGGTAAATATTTGTCTTATTTAAAAGAGGTTAGAGTACACTTGAATTATTATTAATAATTCATTTTTATAGGATCAATTGCTTTCTCATCTCTTGCAAACTGGACAAATTGAAAGACATCTGGCATTAATTGTTGTACCAGGAGAGGGATCCAGTTTAGCGCTTTGCATCACGCTATTGACCAAAGTAAAGGCAGAAACATGCCTTACTCAGGCACTTTATGTAGCGGAAACATTACACTCAGCTATGCATACCTACAAAACGCTGAGTCGACTGGCGCGCTACACAGATATTGCAGTTCAGCTTGCACCGCATAACAAAGGTAAATATAAATTATATCTATTTTTTTAATTGACTTACTTATTGGCTTATTATAAATAAGACTGATATAACTTTATTCTTAAAAACATATTTCAGATCAACCATGCCACATTCTCGTGTGTACCACGAAACATTTGATAGAATTACCGTCAGATTTATCGCAAATTATGTATCTTGTATTTGATGATGCAGATAATACAATTCGATCTTGGGACAGTTTGAAAAAACTGCTATTGCGAGTAAGCCTTGGACATGAACTGATTGCCTTATCTGCCTCACCAAACAAAAACTGGTTGAAAACAGTCCCAACAGCGGATAAATTGACTGTTTCCAACATCAAATCAAAAAAATCCAAGCATCACTACGTGAAATGTGCCAACATCACTGAAAAACTTTATTTCATTGTCAAAATGTGTAAAGCTATTCAATCTGGAAGTGCTAAAGCACTCGTCTTTTGTGTAAGTTGCTATTATTAATAGTTGAACTTTATCCCTACTAAGCTCAACTATTATTAATAGATGACTAAAACAAATATTCTGGAAAATTGAAAAATAACAAAATAAATCACGTCTCTTTCAGCGTACAAGTTCATTGGACTTGGTGGTGGAAACGCTTCACAAGCATGGAATATTCGCTTGTGTCTCAAATGCTGATATGGATTCTTCTCAGCGCCTATTGGAAGTAGAAGATTTCACGACAAAGCCTTACTACACGGCAATGTGTTCCACAAATGGTCTTAGTAAAGGATTAGCATTACCCGGTGTAAAGATTGTCATCAACTTTGACTTTCCAGCCCAACATGTGTTCTACTTTTTTCGGTCGTCGCGTGTCGAACTTTTGGGTAAACGAATATTTGCTCCCATTTTTTTCAACTTGATACTGAAAATTTGTTTGTTTTTCTAGGAAACGAAGGACAAATTTTGTCATTTGTCGATCAAGAAGAAGAATCCTCGCTCAAGAAAACTGCAGAAAAGTTGAAGATCATAATTAATGAAATAGAATAAAGTTTATTCCAACAAAAGTGTCCCATGGTGCGGCTGTTGACACTTCATTTTGAATTGGCGCGCTGTTAAGTTCGGACATGAAATATTAAATTACATTGATGTGCCCTTTGAAATTGGGGGCGCTCGCGTCGTCTCAAATGAAGTTGACGTTCAACAGCCGCCACATGAAGTGTCCGACCTTTAAATTCAAATAAAGCCCAAACGGCATTTAAACACACCCTAGTTATAATTTTAGCCTTATTTATGGCAATTATTTGTGTTTCAGCAAAGTCAATTGTCATCTTATCTTAAAAAAGTAAGATAGATACCATCGAAACTCAACATATTTAGCTAAGATAAAAGATTCATCAATAAATTGTACCATCATCTAGATAAGCTAAAAGATAAATCTTATCTTTATCTATCTTGGCATCTTATCTAGATAATTTATCTATGTACAACACTGGTT